ACTTACGCATCCAAGTGATAGTTCTGGATGCAAATGACAACCCGCCAGTGTTTACTCGGCCTGAGTACCATGTAAGTGTTTGGGAAAACACACCGGTGGGCACCCGGCTGCTCACTGTGAATGCCACCGACCCTGACGAAGGCTTCAATGCTCAGGTGTCCTATATTCTAGATAAAATGCCTGGGAAAATCACTCATATTTTTGACCTGGACTCAGTGACTGGAGACATATTAATATTAAAAAACCTAGATTATGAAGATGCTAAGTTCTATGAAATTCAAATTGAAGCACACGATGGACCAGGTCTTTTTTCAAGAGCCAAAATTCTAGTTACAGTTCTGGATGTGAATGACAATGCCCCAGAAGTTATGATCACTTCTGTCACAGGTTCAATCCCAGAAGAGGCTGCCGCTGGAAGAGAAATTGCTCTTATCAACGTTCATGACCGAGATTCTGGGCAGAACGGGCAGGTTACAATTTTTGTCCTAGGAAATCTGCCATTTAATTTAGAAAAATCAATAGATCAATATTACCGCTTAGTGACAGCTGGATCCCTGGACCGTGAACAAGTTTCAGAATATAACATCAGTCTGAGAGCCACAGATGATGGAAGTCCGCCTCTATCCACAGAAATTTACATTCCCCTACAAGTGACAGACATCAATGACAACCCTCCGGTCTTCCCTCACTCCTTCTACTCTGCCTACATTCCGGAAAACAACCCCAGAGGAGCCTCCATCTTCTCTGTGACCGCCCAGGACCCAGACAGCGACAACAATGCCCGTATTTCTTATGCCTTGATTGAAGACACCCTCCAGGGGGCGCCTCTCTCCTCGTATGTTTCCATCAACTCCAACACTGGCGTCCTTTACGCGCTGCGCTCTTTTGACTACGAGCAGTTTAGAGAACTGAAGCTGCTGGTGACAGCCAGCGATAGCGGAAACCCACCGCTAAGCAGCAACGTGTCGCTGAGTCTGTTCGTGCTGGACCAGAATGATAACACGCCTGAGATCTTGTACCCCGCCCTCCCCACAGACGGTTCCACTGGCGTGGAGCTGGCACCCCGCTCTGCAGAGCCTGGTTACCTGGTGACCAAGGTGGTGGCAGTGGACAAAGATTCTGGCCAGAACGCCTGGCTGTCTTACCGCTTGCTCAAGGCCAGCGAGCCAGGGCTCTTCTCCGTGGGGCTGCACACGGGCGAGGTGCGGACGGCAAGGGCCCTACTGGACAGAGATGCGCTGAAGCAGACCCTCGTGGTGGCTGTCCAGGACTACGGCCAGCCCCCTCTCTCATCCACAGTCACACTCACGGTGGCAGTGGCCGACAACATCCCCGACATCCTGGCTGACCTAGGCAGCATCAAGACCCCTGTAGACCCCGATGATTCGGGCCTCACGCTGTACTTGGTAGTGGCGGTAGCCGCCATCTCCTGCATCTTCCTCGCATTTGTCATCGTCCTGCTGGCACTCAGGCTGCGGCGGTGGCACAAATCACGCCTGCTCCAGGATTCCGGAGGTGTGCTGACTGGAGTGCCAGCCTCACATTTTGTGGGTGTGGACGGGGTGCGGGCTTTCCTGCAGACCTATTCCCACGAGGTCTCCCTCACCGCAGACTCGCGGAAGAGTCACCTGATCTTCCCCCAGCCCAACTATGCGGACACGCTCATCAGTCAGGAGAGCTGTGAGAAAAGTGAGCCTCTCCTGGTATCTCAAGATTTACTTGAAACGAAAGGAGACCCCAACCTACTTCAGGTGAGTTTATTCCTTTCTTTGAATATTATAGAAAGTAATTATGCCAATGTGGTTGTTATATCGCTTTTACACACATGCTCTTGAGAAATAAAACATTGAGTTAGTTGTTAGTCCTGTTGTTTAAATATTTCTCTTTCTTTCCTCTGGGCCCATGATATGACTTCCCTTGTGGCCTGGTTATGGACCAAGTGAGTGAGCCCAAGGAACTAGTTTTGGCCAATAGCATATTGTGGAGAAGTAAGGCATTTCAATTCCTGGAGGAACCTCAAATTGCCACTGGGAGAATTTCTAGATCTCTTAAGTGACTATTTGACATTGTGACTGCTTTCTTCTACCAAAGACCTTGAGTAGCTGTGATGAAAGAAGAGCCCTGTGGTTGACCCAGAATCATCAGCATATTTGTGATAAATAGACCTTTTTCATTTTAAATCCTTGTTTTATTTTTATTTTTGTTTTTTGAGACAGAGTCTCACTTTGTTTCCCTTGGTAAAGTGCTATGGCATCATGGCTCACAGCAACCTCAAACTCTTGGGCTCAAGCAATTCTCTTGCCTCAGCCTCCCAAGTAGCTGGGACTCCAGGTGCCCACCAAAACGCCTGGCTCTATTTTTAGAGATGAGGTCTTTATCTTGCTCAGGCAGGTCTCAAACTCATGACCTCAGGCAATCCACCTTCCTCAGCCTCCCAGAGTGCTAGAATTACAGGTGTGAGCCACCGTGCCTGGCCTAAATCTTTGTGTTTTGAAATTTTGCCACTCTAGCCTACATAGCCTATTCTAACTGGTACACACAAGTAAAACACACACACGCACAAGATGGTTTATTCTCCCATAAAATAAAATTATGCTTGACTTCTATATTCTTTTCATATCAGTGATGTAAAAATTATAGGATAAAAAATATAAACATTGATCAAATTGTTTTTCCTGTCGTGCCTACTATGTATATCTAAATTGTGTGTGTGTGTTCATATTGATTTCGGCCTTTTTCCTGAAGGTGGAAAGTTTACTTACCTAAACTGTTATGAGCCTTGGAGTAGTATTTCTTATCCTTTGAGAGGATATTAACACATATAGGGAGCTATGTCTCAGCCTCTGTGGGATATTTCCAGACCATTCACTCCAACAATGGAATAGGAGTCTTGATCATGTTCTACCACTTTCTTGGGCCAGAAATTGCTGACTTATTCCAAAATTTATGAAAATATTTTTACTCATGAAATCACATAAGAGTGTCATCCAACATTAAATCAAAATATAATTGATTAGGGACAGATCTTTCCTTCCATATATTCAGAAGAGGCACGTTCAAATGTGTGAGACAATAGGGACAGAGTGCAATAACTGTAAGCAGTGAAACATGCAGATATATCACAGAACCAAAAATCTCATAACCTTTGACATACTTTTTTTTTTTTTTTGAGACAGAGCCTCAAGCTGTCCCCCTGGGTAGAGGGCCGTGGCATTACAGCTCACAGCAACCTCCAACTCCTGGGCTCAAGCGAGTCTCCTGCCTCAGCCTCCCAAGTAGCTGGGACCACAGGCGCCCGCCACAACGCCCGGCTATTTTTTGGTTGCAGCCGTCATTGTTGTTTGGCGGGTCCGGGCTGGGGATTCGAACCCGCCACCCTAGGTGTACGTGGCTGGCGCCTTAGCCAGTTGAGCTACATGCGCCGAGCCACCTTTGACATACTTTTTAAGAAAAAAATCTATATATATTAGTGTCACTTTCCATGTAAAGGGAAAACACATATTAAATGGTTAGTGCCAGGGGAAATTTAGATGCTTAAAGAGAAAATTTTAAGAGTCCCATAGGAAACATAACATGCATATTTATCCGCGGAAACACACTGAGAGTAGAAAGGTAGTGCCATTTTCAGCCACCAGCAAGGATAATGAAAGGTCTCAGACATGCCCCATTTTCATTAAAAGGGTTTTTCTTCCTGAATGATGGGCAAGAATTCATTACAAGAGAAAGGGAAGGGAAGTTTATAATTTTAAAAGCATAAAGACAGTAAGCAGTGAAAAAGAAAAAGGTGTCTTCAGAAAATGGACAATGGTCTGTTTTGATTGGTGTATGAGTACAAGTGAGCACTGTAAAATAATAGATTGTTGAGTTGGTGTCTAATTTGCTAGTGCATTTGAAATAATGAGGGTTGTTTCTCTGAGTTACCCAAGATCAGTTCAAAGAGTACAGGATAAATTCCAGAAGGTAGTGTCTAAGGTCTCTCAATCCATCCCTCCAAGACTTACCAGTGATCTTGTCAAACTCATTTTAGTCGTTAATGGTATTAATTGGCTAGAGCTGAAAGTTGGCATTATAGTGTATTCCATATATGTTCATACAGAAAGGAGGCACTGGTTTCATAAAAAATAAATATGGCTTACACAGAGTCAGCTTGATAAAGCATGTATGCGTGCCAAGATACTAATTTGCTCACTGACAAAATATCACCCTCTGCTGTACTTAACTGGGAAGATTATCTAAGTTTTACAAAGAAGAGCAATATATTAAAATAATTGTAAGGCTTCAACTCTCTCTCTTTTGCAAAGACTGTATCTTTGAAAAGTATTGCTGAATTGATAAGTACACATGAAGAGATTTGAAATACTAAATAAGGAAAGTTATTCCACTTAATTTAAAGAAAGGTAAGGATCACATTCCACAAAAGATGTGATTTGAAAATCCATTTGCTTATAGGGAACACACTGTTCATGCCAGAGCTTTTAAATGTGGTGAAACCACTGCAGATATTTTTGCCCCTCAAACTGGGGGGGAGGGATGGCTGTATGCCTTGTGAATTTTTAAATGATAAAAGAAGAATTTAAAACGATAAAAATACTTATAAGATGATTACAAACTAGAAATTATCAAATTTAAAGGGAAATGTGAATATTTGGTTCTTTATAGAAAATTAAGAGACGGGGTACATAGATTCAAGAGATTGCATGCACTTTGAGGATAGTTGGGCAATGTGCAGTATTCCAAGACAACCTCTGGGCGCCGCTGTTGACCAAAGGGAAGAGAGGAGTTCTTAATTCTGCAGGAGTATCAGAGTGATTTCCTGCTTTGTCCGGCACGTATCAGGGAGCAGAAGCTGCTCCTGTGCACCCTCAAGCGCTTAACAAACAAGTCCTACCTTAAAATCACTAAAGCCCAAAGTGCTGTCGTTGATTTTTTTAAAAACACTTCAGAGAAACCTTGAAAAGAAGATTCTTGGAGAGTTCATGAAATGCAGAGGGAGTGCCAGAGAAGCTAAAACGATGAAAAGTCAGGTACTGTTTCCCTTTCTGGTGTTTTTGTTCTGCGGAGCCATCTCCCAGCAGCTCCACTATGTTATTCCGGAGGAGCTGGCAAAGGGCTCTCGGGTGGGGAACCTCGCCAAGGATCTGGGGCTCAGCGTCCAGGAGTTGCCAGCTCGAAAACTGAGGGTTAGTGCAGAGGGTTATTTCAACGTTAGTGCCGAGAGTGGAGATTTGATAGTGAGCAGTAGGATAGACAGAGAGAAGATTTGTGGGAGGAAACCTGAGTGTGTACTAGATTTCGAAATGGTTGCTGAAAACCCGATGAATGTTTTCCACGTGACTGTTGCAATCCAAGATATTAACGACAATGCACCAGGTTTTGCTACAAAAGGCATTGATTTAGAAATTTGTGAATCAGCCTTACCGGGTGTAAAATTCCCTCTGGATTCTGCACAAGATGCAGACGTAGAAAGTAATTCAGTAAAGACATACACCATCAACTCCAATCAATACTTCTCTCTTTCAACAAAGGCAAGTCCTGATGGAATTAAATACCCAGAATTACTGCTAGAAAATCCGCTAGACAGGGAATATCAGAGCTACCATCTCTTAATTCTGACCGCCACAGATGGAGGAGCCCCGCCTCTGAGCGGCACCACTCAGATCAGGATCTACGTCACTGACGCCAATGATAATGCTCCGCTGTTCAGCCAGGACGTATACAGAGTTAGCCTCCAAGAAAACGTGCCCTGGGGAACCTTCGTGCTGCGGGTAATGGCCACTGACAAGGACGAGGGCATTAACGCAGAAATCACCTATGCCTTCCTTAAATCCCCAACAAGTACCAGTCTCGTCTTCAATCTCGATTCAAATACCGGGGATATCACAACCAATGGTACATTGGACTTTGAAGAGACAAGTCAGTATGTGTTGGGTGTAGAAGCCAAGGACGGAGGGGTGCACACGGCTCATTGTAATGTTCAGATTGAAATTGTTGATGAGAATGACAACGCCCCAGAGGTGATATTCATGTCCCTTTCTAACCAGATTCCAGAGGACTCAGACTTGGGAACTGTAATAGCTCTAATAAAAGTGCGAGACCAGGATTCTGGGCACAACGGTCTGGTGACGTGCTATATTCAGGAAGAAGTCCCTTTCAAATTAGAATCCACTTCCAAGAATTACTATAAGCTGGTGATTGACAAGGCCCTAAACCGGGAGCAAACCCAACACTACAATGTCACCATCGTAGCCACTGACCAAGGAAAGCCATCGCTTTCCTCCAGAACTGGCGTCACCCTGTGTATCTCTGACGTCAATGACAACGCTCCGGTTTTCCACCAGAGTTCCTACTTGGTCCACGTAGCAGAGAACAACCCGCCAGGAGCTTCAATTGCGCAAGTTAGCGCCTCTGATCCGGATTTGGGACCCAATGGCAGTGTCTCTTACTCCATCGTAGCCAGCGACTTGGAGCCACGGGACCTATTGTCTTATGTGTCCGTGAGCGCTCAGAGCGGGGTGGTGTTCGCCCAGCGCGCCTTCGATCATGAGCAGCTTCGCGCTTTTGAGCTGACGCTGCAGGCCAGCGACCAGGGCTCACCCGCGCTCAGCGCCAATGTGAGTCTGCGCGTGTTGGTGGACGACCGCAACGACAACGCGCCGCGGGTGCTGTACCCGGCGCTGGAGCCCGATGGCTCGGCGCTCTTCGATATGGTGCCGCG